GCTACTTTCTATAACCTGGTCGTGATTTGATCAAATCAGATCCCTCTCGATGGGTTTTCAAAAAAAATTGTCTGCTTATTTTTCAGTAATTGCATCAAGTTTAGGTGATGATTTGTTGTAAGTTTGAATTTTCAAAAATCATATCGATAAGAGAGGTATAAATCGCGAACAACCATAATCTTAATAGTGTAATTCTCTAGAAATCAACTCATTTTCGATCTACTAACAGTCATAATTAGTTGTTAGAGTACTTGCAATCTTGAATCAATTATGTTGTTGGCCTCGTTGCTGCCTATGGGCTCTATACCTCTCGTTCCTTTATTATCCCAATTAGAAAGTTGCAAACAGAGGTAGAAAGGAAGATTTTTTTGCAGATTTTCTATGACTCACCATTAAGGTTACCCTCGTATAGAAGTTTTCATCGCGCTAGAATATTTTTGATCTTTTTCGGAAGAATTTTATAGGGTCTAACTGTTTTATTCTGTAGATCCAATTGCAAAAAAAAAAATGCTTTACATACGACCTCGTTGCCCATTGCTCTTCTTTGATTATCGTCAGCGTTGTAAAAACTATCACAATGGTAACACTTTCAGAATGCTTACTAAACCTGTTTGAACACAGCAAGCGCATAGCATCTTACCAAAATTCATTCTGGGTTCCTCATATTATATAGAAATAATATTATAAACATATTATAAATGCCAACCCAACAGAGGATCCTAGAAAACTGCATTAAAGTTATGTATAAGATAGTTGGAGCTAAGATCGATCCTAAGCATTTAGGAAAATTGCCATCTTAGCGCTCTCAACACCAAACATAATATTTTTTCCAAAAATTGACGTTTTCCCTGGGGTTGTGGCCCCTGTATCTGTATTACACCCATCAAATCGTTAAATATACGAAACACATGTTGCTGTGTTTAGAGTTGCTTTTGAGAAAACAATTTGGGACAAATTGCTCAGACTTGGAACTCGTAGCCATGGAGTACCTTTTCATAGGCCTATAAATTCTATGAAAAAATGGGAAAAGAAGCGACATCTCAAGAAATGCTACAAAGCTCTGGCCTTTCTAGGAAATAAAAGCACGGGAGCCGTTTTACTAGAAGCAGTCACATAAATTTTATTGATAGATCAAGCAAGAGCCATAGGCAGGAGTTGGAAAGAAATTTATTTTTTGCAAGTAGATCTAAGGTAACAGCTGAATTTTAACAATTTTTCAAACTCAAAAGTTACCTAACGCAATGAAGACTTAT